ATGGATTATGTAAGCCAAGCTTGTGGTAGTTTATCATGCTATCAACAATAGGCTGCAATTCTGCTTCTTTTAATCCTGATAAGTCTTTAACAATTACTGTTGCGAGTTGCAGGGAACTTCTATCAAAGTGCTGGGAATGGTTAGACTTCTCATCCTCAGGAAACGGTTTACGGTTTCCAAACATAATAGCAAATTCTCCTAAAAAAAAGATCCATGTGATCCTCCTGAGCCTCTGGACCAGATTTCCTTTTACCAATGCCTGAATATTCTGAAAACATTTCCCTTGGTAGTCTAGGTTCTTGACTTTTGATCAGAACAGCTTTATCATCTGAAACATTCTTGATTTTAAGTGCTCCAATTTCATAAGCAGTTAAGACTCTACTTCCAAAGGAACATGGGTGGATAAGCAGGTCAGCAATAGAAACTCGACTGGGAGTTAAATCCATATCAATTGCAAGATTAGGAGAAGCGTAATCTGGCGTTTGTTTAACCTGAAGAACCGTTTCCGACTTTAAGACACCTACAACTGTAGTTTGCTCCTCGATTTCGTCCTCCTTATTCGTTTTCTTGATTCCAGATTCAATTGGTTCCCTCTCAATCTCCTTTATGGACGGGAGAATTTCTTGCTTAGGGACAAAACCATCTTGCGATAAAACTGGCGAACACAGAGAAACGACTTGAGAAGAGGAAGGGGAATAGTGAAAATCGATTGGTGACTTTCTTGGACACGAACTGAGGTCCGGAGAGGAATTCTGCGAATGGCGAGAAACAGTTCGTGATTGCGAAATATGAGAGAGGAAGTTCGCGATTGCGAACTAAAAGGAACAGTTCACGCTTTCGTCTGCGATGGCGACGGACTGTGTTTGTCAGGTAGCGGAAGATACCTAGTCGTCCTCGATCGGTCTCCAGATTTTCTGCGATGTCTCTGCTCTTCTGATTCCTCTGGATTCGCTGATTTTCGCGAATGATAATAATTACGCTCCCGATGGTGGTGATGATTGCGATGCGGATGCGAATGGTCATAATTTCCTTCTGAATCCCCTGAACTGACTGACTTTCGCGAATGGTGATGGTCAGAAGTGCGATGATGCGATTGACTCTTCGAACGACCTGAAACTCTGTTCAGCATATCCGCGAAGCTGGCTTGCATAGCGGTCAACTTCATCACCATATCTTCTTGTATCTCCCGCGTAAATCTTTCCATACTAGCTTGCATCTTCCTCATCTGTCGGTTTATATTATTAAAACTCTCTTCCATTAGTGGTGTCAAAATATCCTCCATGATTCACATTCTCGGTCTCCAGGAAGTAACGTTCTCTGATACCACTGATAGATCTCTCCAGAAAATACAGCAATTACAGGAATTACTATCAAGAAACAACTGAAAATTCTTATTAAAGAAGATGAACAGTAACAGTAACAAAGGCCTAAGCCCCCCAAAGATAGAGACGACTAATCCCTAATCTTCCCAGTCCCAAGACAGAATGTCCAAAAGCCTGGCTACTAACTCCCCTTTTCATCTATTTATACTACAATACTGCATACCCTTATTACAACTATTATTATTATTATTCTTTCTATTATTAATCTAATAGGTAGGTCCCTATCATAAATTTTGCAAAATCTATGATTAGCTGCAGCGGAAATGAGGCAGAAGGTTATAGAGAGGGTGTGGCTGAGGTTTTTAGGATCGAGCCATCTATGGTGGGCGCAGAATACCTGGGGCTGCCATCTCTTATTGGTAGAAAGAAAGAAATTTTGGGGTTGATTCAGGAAAGAGTGAATTCACGCCTTTGTAGCTTGAACAACAAGTTTCTGTCCAAAGTAGGACGAGAAGTGCTTCTCAAATCAGTAATTCAACTGATGCCAATGTATGCCATGCAAGTCTTTTTATTGCCAGCTATGTGCTGAGATTGAGAAGATTATGAACAAATTTTGGTGGACGTGAGGGTCGGAGAAGGGAATTAAGTGGCGAGGCTGGGGTGATATGTGCAAACCAAAAGCTAAAGGTGGACTTGGTTTTCCAAAGCTACGTGAGAGTTCAATGTTGCAATGCTCGCGAAGCAGGCATGGTAGCTTTTTACAGAACCAAATACGCTAGTAGGGTGGGTGTACCAAGCTAGATATTATCCAAAAAGCTCTTTCCTTGAGTTAGGGTTGAGCAGCAACCCCTCTATCATTTGGAGGAGGTGTTTATGGGGGCTAAGGGTGTCATTTCAGAAGGCTATCGACGGAGGGTGAGTAATGGTTGTCACATGGCTGTCAGATGCTGATCTGAGGGTTCATACACCTATGTGGCAGGGTCTTGAAGAGTTGACAAAGGACGGACTAATGGCTGTGGGGGGATCAGTGGAACTTGGATGTGGTGTCAGATATTTTAGAGGTTAGAGTTAAAGATTTGGTGAAAAATATCCCTTTGAGCAATCGCCAAGTTCTCGATAAGATAATGTGGGCCTGGGAGGCTAGGGGCGGTTTTACTGTTAAAAGTAGTTATCGAGCTCTGGTAGGCAAAGTTGCTGCAGCAGGCTGGTGATAGACACCCGAGTGAAGCTGCTAGTACTCATTTTCATTTTCATTTACCCCAGTGCCGCAAAGGCTCCCACCTACGGTGGGGTAAGGGGGGGTCGGATGTACGCAGTCTTACCCTATACTAAAGCACAGAGAGACTGTTTCCGGATGACCCATAGTGAAAATCGCGTCCAAAATTGCATGGACTGACTGCTGCTTCATTACAAAGAAGCGCAGACAGTTTAGTGAGCCATTTTGCTTTATTCCATCATAATCTCAAGCCAAAAAATAATGAATCTTCGGCTCCATTCCAAATGATAATAATGAATCTTTGGCTCCATTCCATCATAATCCCATTAATGAAGCTGCTAGTACTAATAATGATAATAAGCATTACGGGAAGGTCTATAGTAGGAGAAAGAAGTATAACAATTAGTTAGTTGCTGAGGTGTAATTTTTGTTTGTATTCTGAAAAGAATAAATAGCTGGGAAAGGGGAGTTAGTAAGGAGGCTGTTGGACAGTTAGTTAGGACAGGGAGGAACTGAGATAGTCTATTTCGTTTCCTGGAGAACTATCTGTAAACTCTTTCTTCCATTAATGAAAGCTTGAAGTGTTTCTTGAATACTCTTTTCATCTTTCTGTATTCATACAAATCTGCGTGAGTTCTATCAGCTGGGCAGGTTGGACGGGGATTTGAGGCCTGCATATACCTCCAAAGGTAAAACACTTTTTTGGAAACTGTGTGCAGGGCTTTTATCAACGGCTGAAAGTCTGAGTAGGAGGGTAGAAGTTCCCCTAGCATGAGGCTGGTGTAACGATAATCAGGAATCAGCAGCTCATTTGTTCAGCAGTTGCAAGCAAGCAAGGGAAATGTGGGGCAGATTAGGGTGGGGAGAGGGCTTGATAGATGGTGACTTGTTTTTTAGGTGGGTTGAGCACAATTTCTCAGCCAAACATGAGGGCATATGGTGTGCGTTGGTGATGAATTGTTGGGCAATTTGGAGAAATAGAAACCTGAAGGTGTGGGAAGGGGTGGAGTCAACGGCTGAGCAGATTTGTTGCAAGCTGCCTCTTTCCTTGAGAGCTGGAGGCTTGCGCAGCAACAGGGAAAGAAGAAACAGTGTTTGGTGGAGGGCCGTGTAGTGCAGTGAACCAAGCCAGCTGCTGGGGTATACGGATGCGGCATGCAAGGCGGGGGAGATGGCTGCAGTTTAGGGTGGGTGGCCTGGGACAGTTTGGGCATTTTTTTTGGCAGGCAGGGTCATTCCTTGGCGGGGTAGCTGCTTATCACGGTGATACGGACCTGAGCTTATGGCGAGGGAATTAATAGAAATAATATTGAATGTTTTAAGAAACTGTAATAAGGAACTGGGCTGGGCCCAAATAATTAGTTATTGGGAAAAGGGTCAAATAGGCCCTCGAACTAACTTAAAAAGTGCAAATCACCCCTTATATAGGAGGCTCTGTCCGGCCGTCGCCATTTGGGGCGGTTCCCGGTGGAATTTTTTGATGAAACTTTTTGAGCATCTTTTTCATTAAGTCTAGTTTACCCATACCAAATTTCAGATAAAAATTCAACCGGAAAGACAGTCAAATGATTTTTTGAAATGTACTGTGTTGTTTAACTGTGCAGTTATCTTCAAAAATTAATTTGACTGCCTTCCCGATTGAACTTTTAGCTGAAATTTGGTATGATTAAACTAGACTTAATGAAGAAGATGCTCAAAAAAATTCATCAAAAAATTCCACCGGAAACCGCCCCAAATGGCGATGGCCGGACCGCCGGACAGAGCCTCCTATATAAGGGGTGATTTGCACTTTTTAAGTTAGTTCGAGGGCCTATTTGACCCTTTTTCCTTAGTTATTTTCAGGAGAAGCCTCTTTGGGAATAGAATAAATAGTAGGATTAGAAAAGGGAGAGGCAAACTGGGATTTGGGAAAAATTGGGATCTGGGAGAGATCTAGGCCCTCTTGAATTGGTCTTCGTTGTATTCTTCTTATTTTCTACGATATCAATATAATTTTCTACTCCAATTCTCTGTGTTCGTATCACACGGGAAGAGGAGGGTTTAAGTATAAGGGAGGCATTTAGCTGAATTCTTTTAAAAGGGTGGTACGACATTGAGCTTGAGTCGAATGTGCTACAAGCTATCTCGAGTATTCATTCGAGGGAAGGAGGTTCTAGTTTCGATCTCTTAGTGGGAGATATAATAATAGCTATGAAAGGTCGAGTCCCCCGTATCTCTTTTAGTTATGTAAGTGGTCTGCCAACCGAGTTGCCCATGCCCCACAAGTTGGCCCGGGCAGCCGTTTCTATGTCTGATCGTAATTTATGGATTGATAATCCGCCTTTATGTATTTCCAATGCTCTTCACCACGATTTGATTAATAATAGTTAACTGTTTTGCCTTAAAAAAATCAAAATTGCCTACTTCAAAAATAAAAGGGCTACAGCATATATTTTTGAGTGATTAATTTCTAAACTAAGCACCTTGGGCATATAATGTTAGGACAGCTTGAATCTGAATGAAGACACCACCAAAGTTGTATTTCTCAAACATTGTTTCTACCTGTTATTCAAATACTTACAAAGCAAGAGTCAGATGTATTATGAAAGAAATTAAAAAAAAACATCTGAATAAGAAGAGGTATACAGACAAACCATCTTTTCACGGTTTTTTGATGGATTGAGAGGTGGATCCGTGAGCAAAATTTTGCATTCTGTTGGATTGACCTTCAATAAGAGATAAAATAGTAAAGCCCCATCAGTTAAATAAACAAGAGTGATGCTTAGTGTTCAACCAATTTGTACAACATGAATTTTGTTTACATAGACTAGATTTTTATTCATACAAAGTACAACAAGATGTCGTCTACCGGTCAGTGAAAACAAAAAACTCATCTTCGCACAAACAATATTTTCTAATCTCACAGATAAAATTACACAGACAAAATGTTGTAAGTTTGAACGAAAAACTAGTTGTACAAATGTGTTGTACAAATAGAATATTCAATAAATAGTATGATGTAGAAACTTTTTGAAACACAGCAAGTTATTTCATTACAGAAACTTTAAATTAATTTGGAGTGGAAATGAGAATCTGAAGGACTACCTTCAGCTCATTGAAAAATGCATGGTCCCAGACATGTTCCATATCATCCCAGTTTTGCACAATCCCATTGTTGACGGGATATGATATATCCAATTGGTGCCGCAACTTTAAACATGCATCTCCAACAGCAATATCCTACAACAGTAGATGGTAATATAATATCACGGATACCATATTAAGTTTTAAGGCTCACTCCAAGGTCAATCATATAGAAAGACTGGCTCAAGACCTTATACGTTGGTTTGTATTTTATATTTTTAAGAAGTCGGATACTAGGATGGTTTAAAATGCTAACACATGTACTCATGCCATGGGAGTGTAACCTCAAATGGATTTTAAATTCTTATGAAACAAAAAAGAACTCAAATTACCATAAGTGTTAGTAAGCAGTGATATAAATATACTCCCTCCCTCCCCTTTTTACCACCCTACTATGCTTTTTGGGCCGCCCATAGATAATCTTCATTTTCCCTTGTATGTAAAAACGTTTTGGTTGAGATATTCGTCAACTTCATTCTATGTAAATCTTAGTCACATAATTTCTATTTTCTTAAACTTTGTGCCAACTGCCAAATCGAACCACGATGCAGGGAGTAATATTTTGCAATGAGGAGATATGGATACATCCATTGAGACTTCTAAAGCCTAAAGGTAACAAATAGTAGAAAGACCATTACACCTTGATGTCTTGTTCCATAAGGGATTCTTCATATCGCAACATTGGCCTCCCCACCACGCAAGGGAAAACGGATGTGGGGAAATTCTCATTCGCAAAGCCACATTTGACATACTGCATTCACATAGAGGTAATCAGAGTAAGTAAGTAGGCACTTGGCACTCCGCAGTAATGAAAAGCATACTCCATATATACTAATTAACAGCAATAGGTGAGAATTCTACAACACTTTAATTACCAAAGATCATTTTTTTCTTTTCAAACTCAAGGTGTTTATCTAATGAAGCCATGCGTTGCTTCATTTATCAGATTTGACCAATCATAGGCAAATTAAGTACCTAGAACAACATAGTAATTACATTACATACAATTCTGAGTAACACAGCAGATAATGAGCTAAACAAGTATACCAGGCAGCATATTCAACAGTGTCTCAAGAGATCACAGACTGGATATAAGTGTTTAAGCAATAAAGGAGAAGATTGCACCATAAAATATAAGATTATTACCCCTGTTCCATTGTCGCAGACGACGACGTTTTTGTTATCCATCCTGCATCTACTCGTTCTTCATGTGATATCTCAGCTCAAATACTCTCGGCAAGCCAGCAACCCCTCTTTCCAGTGTCCACACCTGCGTGAACTTAGTGGCTCGCTGCTTCAATCGTTGTCTTTCACTGCCCTGATAATGCCTCAGTCTGTTTGGTAAGGGGTCAAATTGGCTGAATAAGCTGATTCTGCTGATTTGTGAAAAAATTATATTTAAAATACTCCATATTTTATTAATAAAACAAAGAAAAAATTATATGAAAAATAACTAAAATGGTCATTTATAGTCACTTCAGCTAATTCGGCTAGAAAAGTAACTCCAACCTTACTTATTGTGATTATTATACAATCCAGCGCGCGAAATTAAAAGTTACGTGCTTAATGAAAAAGTTGGTTCATAATGCTGATAAGCCGAATAATATGGTCACCAAACGCGCTCTTAATATGTTTGTTTATTACATTTGGGAGTCCAAGCGATTGATGGGACGAGCTAGTATCTCTTTGATTGCTGGTGAATAATTAGGTATTGCGGGTGTTTGCAAAAGTAAGGTTGGTCAAGGCTAGGGTGCTAGGGTGTTAATCTGAGCTCGAGTTGGCTTAGGCTAGTTGATTTCTAGTTTGAATGAATTTCAATCAAGTGAAAAAATGTACTCCATATAACTTCACTTCAATGAGTTTGGGTCTCCAATCCGTTTTTAGTTTTTTATTACTTCCATTTACATCCATTTAATATTCGGACTTTTGTCTATTTTAAAAATCAAAAGACACAGTAATGTCATTGTTGGGGTATTGGGCCCAACAGAGGGCAGGCCCATATACCCCCAACGGACCGGGTGGCCCAACGGTCCAAGGAGCAAACCCAGCCCACTCCACCAACGACATGGGTCGAGTGGGTCATAACACTTGATGAGATTCCTGGATTGCTATCTTCAGGCACCCAGCCCACTCCACCAAGAGGTTGGCGGGAAATCAGGGAAATGACGAGAAACACATTTTATGCACGAGATATGGAATTCTTTCATTTATTTCCTTGTAAAGAGTTGGCAAACTTACATTCAAAAGCTTAGCTTCTGTCTCTAGAATCTCCTGTAACTCTAAACTTGTAATTAGGTGATTGGGGCTCAGACTCGGCAAGGGTGTGCCGTAATCGTTCTAAATCGATTAGTAGAATTTGGTGCACTTTACCTGCTTCCATTCTTATTGCTTTGCCTTCATTATTAATTAATGACTCACTAAATACATCATAATCATAAAAGATCCAACGAAAGCCCAAGAGAACGTATTGGGCCCTTAGATCGCGATGACTTGACCTCAACAGTCACAAAGGAGTTTTTTTCTGAATGTTACTCTGATCCTTTTGAGTCTACTTCCATTTAAATCCACTAATACAAATAAATCACAAAATGTAACAAACAATTTGTTTTGGTTTAGCTGCTAAGCCGGGTGGCCTGAAGGGATAAAGATACCAAGCACTGTTTCACCTATATTAAAGAATGATTGGGGCCAGTACATTTGAAATTCAGTGGGCCTAATCCATGAACCTGTTCAGTGACTACTATGCCATACACCACACAACACTAAAATTTATTGAGTCACTCCCACATCCCAAATAGAGCAGCATATTTAGTACGTATAATGTGATTGCTCTGTTTCAGATTACATAAAAGGATAAACTACTACAAAAAACAGGGGCAACATCACAATGACAGTATTGGTCGCATATGAACACCATATTCAGATAAATAAAAATGGAAGTAACACAACATGCAAGAACAAAAAGTCTAAGACAAACACGTATTCAAACATAGACTAATTTTCTAACTTTCAAGATTGAAGTGCGCGTAGTAAAGTTCTAGACTATGAGTGGTGAATATAAAACACAAGGAAATCGAAAAGAAGAGTAGAAAAGGTAAAAATTACTCCGTAAATAACACTTGCCAAGTTCAAACAATAGCTTACCGGAGATACTACAACCCTAGCGACTCCGGACGAGCGACCGATTTCAACCTTCATTGCAGGAGACACAGCTTTAGAGACGAAGCAAAATCATCTAAGAACTCGAGAATTGGGAAAGGGGTGATTCAGGATGGAGAAGGTTATGTTCGAACTATAGCTTACCGGAGATTACGAACGGGCATCTCAGACCCGTCGCACACTCTGGAGATGCTTAGCTGCTTACCTGGAGTCTGAAGATGGGAGCACGACGCACACTCGCACGGGAGATTAAGCAGGAAATCAGAAGAAGGGCCGAAGGGATGATCCGTGGTCGCCTGGTCGCCGTCTGTGGTCGCCGTCTCGCCGTCCGTCACTCCGGTCCCCGTCAGTCGGTCGTTGTTCGCTGGCAGCACTTCTCCGTCGACCGTCGCTGCTGTGAATTGTACAACTGAAGAACTGAACATTGTGCAAGGACGTTTTTACTTTGGAGTGTAATTTGAGTCTGGTCAGCTCTGAATCGGTCTGGTCTGTTTTGGTTTCTTTATATTTTTATAACTATACAAGTCTTCACTGATTTGAACTGATCTAATCTGATCTGATCTGGTCTGAATTAAAGTCCAAGTAAACACATCTTAATTAATGAAATCGGTTATTGACCAAAAAATAGATCTCACTTTTTGGTTAATAATCTGGAATGCTAGTTTTGTTTTATCACATGGTAAAGTTTGACCGCTTATTACATGTAAAGTTGTGTTTTCTGTAGCATTACCCGTTTATGAAGTAAACTTGTGTAGGACAAGTTCAAGACTGAAATTTAATGGCCTGATTTAAACTATGTAATTTATTCTGATCGGTTCAAGTTTGGATTGAATCGTCATTCTTTAGGATAAAATATTTATCAAAATTCAGTTTATTATTGAAGTAAACATAATCATATGTATTTTTACATGGAGTAGTATCTCCGGGGGTTCTCCGACCCCACACAGAGATATAATTTCAACTTAAAATGGGAAAGAGTAGTAGTCCGACATTTTGGCTTTGAAATTGAAGGTTTACCAGCCTAGTGGCCAAAACTCATCATATTACAAAGAAAACCTTTCCTAATAGGCCTCAGACAGTAACCAGAGCAGAAGAACCAATGTTGTAACCTCACTCACCATGGAGTGTGTTAGACCCCTTTTGTGGTTGGTCTACATCGAGACATCGCATTGGCTCGATAAGGTGGCTTCGGGGCATGGGATGCGGCCAAAGTCATCATGGCGATGTTTCACCAAGGCAAAGGCATGTTGTGGCATTGCTTTGCGAGGAACGAGCAAGGTGGAAGTTTGGCTAAGGCTTCGGGACTTAGTCAAGACAAGGCAAGCTAGACCTAGTATGTGGGCAGAACAGTTAGCGTGTAAGAAACCATGTTCGGTTCATGGACGACATGACATTGTTAAGGTGGCCTATGGGTGTGTTGGTCCGGCATGTGGTCCAAGTGTTGGTGAAGGTCAGTGGCATGTGTGGCATGGCTTACTGGATGCGGAACAACAGATTGGATGCACGGCAAAAGCAGGTGGCTCAAGGTGGCACGCGGGCGACTCATGGGCAGTGCATGGTGCGTGGCCAGGCTTGAGCCCAGGGTGTGGCTGTCCTTGGGCAGTCAAGACTATTGGGAGTTCGATGGCAACGAGAGTTGATTGGCCGGTTGACAAGTGGGACTTAGGCAAGTTGGGTGCAAGGCAACGAGGGTTGGTTGGCTGGTTGACAAGTGGGACTTGCGCAAGTTGGGCGCAAGGCAACGAGGGTTGGTCACGAGCTCAAGGGAAAGAGTTGACTCATGAGTGGTCTGGGTTAGGCCGCGGCGTGAGTGCAAGCTCGAAGGGTTGTGTCGGTTCGGTGCTGGCATCGCTCGAGTCTGCAAGGGGGCATGGGCATTGGCGAACTAGTGCCTTGAGGCGAACCGGTGGCAAAGCAGTTGAGGGCTTCAGGAGAACAGGTGCTTGGGCAAACCGGCAGGCCGCGACATTGGCGGTTACCAACTGCCACTCGTGAAGAGACGCGTTCCTTCAGGCTAGGCAATTGGCTTGTAACTGCCAGACTCGGCCCAGTCTATAAATAGGTCGTGGCATATGCTAGTTTTGGGAGCCAGATGTGTGAGGGCAAGTGTATGCCGAGTGTTTGCAAGTGTTTAGACATTGTGAACGTGATGTATTAGTCCTAGTGTATTAATTATGAATTAATACAAGGTTGGTCGTTGACCGTAAAGTCGTGTGCCTATATTCTACGTGTGTGTTAAAGTGTTGTGTTCCTATTCTCAATTGAGTGTCTAAGTGGGCATTGGGAGTAAGGTTGACTATCTTAAGGCGTTAGGGCATGTCGTACAGGGTGAAAATTCTAAGTCGGGAATTTTACCGTGTAACAAAGTGTAAGAAATGAATTGAACAAAATATGATAAAAGCAAAGCATCTTCCCTATTACAACAAACAAGAAAAGCAGAGATGTAACCCTCTTAATCCATCTCCATATATATGATCATGGAACATGTTAGGAATATAGTTAATATTCATGATTAAAGGTGGTTTGAAATGCATTATTTCCAAAGATCTAGTTATATACCCAACCTACAAAGTGCAAACTAATAAACTATTAATGTGTATGCTAGGCTGGGTTTTTCGTGCAATGGACATACCAGTCTGGAAAAAAGGTGCTTATATTTTACAAGGTTTAAAATCCTCCCCTTTTTTGAAAAATTTATCGTTTACCTTCTTTTTTGCAAACTTATTAGATTGTGAAAATTATTAAATTAGTAGATTTATTGCATTTATAATAATAAATTAGTTACTTTATGTATATTATATTCAAAGAATGTCATTAAAACCCTATTTATTAATAATTACACTTTTGGACATAAAATGTTGATCAAAATGTTGAACAAAATCAGTGGCCTCATCAAAACAGATCATATAACATTTTCAAAGACAATACAAATGATACTTCTTACTTTAATACTTGTATAATTTTCATGTTTATACATATTTAAATAAATGCTCTTTTTACTATTTCGACTTTTGTTTTAAAAAGCCATCGTTTAGCATGGTCAACTTTATGTTGCGGTATCAAGAGTAACAAATCGTAAGAGTTTGAAAATATTGAGCTGCGATGAAGATGACGAACAAATCGACCATACTATCATTGTTGTTTACAAGGAAGCGTCTCGAAAAGTGTAGGCTTTGAAAACCTTATTGCAATATCTAATTATTCTTTTTATTCCAAAACATACTTTGTACTAATTAATTATGAGTCGTAACTATGTTCTTCATAAATACAATTTTGTGTGTGTTTACTTTTTACATTCATTTACATGTTAACTAATAATGATAACAAATAATATGATTTAGCTACTACTTAATACGGAGTATATATTTCATCCATCGCACGGGTGAGAAACTAGTTCATACAATACTCGTTAATTACATACATAACAACATCAACATTTAATCACATAAAAGCGGAAATATTCATTGTTTATTCATTGGCCACATCTGGCCAAAACGTGAGCTCAGAGGCCCAAAACAAAGTAATTCAAGTATAAATATTCACGAATAGTGTTTATCATTTAAAAGTCGATAAAGTCACTACAATAAAATTGGTTTGTAGAGACATGTCATAATTGCCTCTAAACATAGCAAAGTAGTCTCTAATGCTCTTTATAGGCAATTTAGTGGTTGCCAACAAATAGTCCGTCGTAAAAAAAATGGTTGCCTCTAAAAACACCATTTAGAGGCAAAAATTATTTTGCTTCTAAAAGATATACGGAGTATTTAGAAACAACCATACCCTTCCGCTTCAAAACATCATTAGAGACAATCATATCATGTTGCGTCAAAATGTTATTAGAGACATCCCCATTTAACGATTCAAGATGTTATGGGAGACATTATTATATACTGCTTTTAAAAAAATTCAGATGCAACTTTAAGTGTTGTCTTGGAAGCTTTTTAGAGGCAAACGTTGAACTAATTAAGCAACATGCATTTCGTGGCAATTATTTTATTTGATGCCAAATTTTATTCACTTTTTCAAATGATAATGATAATGATAAAAATAACTCAAAAAAGAATATTGCTTCTTTTAGAGTATAGCATAATAAAATATCAAAATACATTTTCTTGTAAATAACTGAACATAGTAACTACTTAAATAATTTGTTCAGTCTAATCTACAACATCCCGATGAATAATATGTGAACATTTTATCTCTCATTGTCGTGGTTGCTTCTTTCTTGGCCTTATTAGCTTCCTTCTTGGCCCCTTCCACCTCTATACGCAATTTCTCTCCTTCCAAACAATGATGTAATGGACGGACTAACTCCAAGGCCACGATCACGTCCACATTAAGCTTTAGATTTGTCTTTTTCAAAAATTTCTTCATCTGATATGTGATACTGTTTTCTCCTAGCTCAAGTGCACACCAAGCTTCTTTATGTCTGACTCCAAAAAGAAATGTTATATACGCAACAAGCATACCTCGAAAACAGTAGATATAGATAAAGTCTACAATTGCAGCTAGTATATCAAATATGGTAAACATTTTCCAACTAGGATATTGAACTTGATAAACAAACTACAACTAATATATTTAGGTATTTGCAGGTACCTAAATAAACAATATGTAACTAATCAAACTTCAGCAACTAATCTTATTAATTGAAAACTTGTTTTTATCATGCATCATACTACATAACTTAAGAAAATAATCTGAATTTAATGGTTCTAGACTTGAAGTGCAAACTTACTACTTCTGTACACTAAAAGTGTAGCTTCTACACTTAGAGTAATGTGGTTTGCACCTTCAACTAGCTTAGTATACCAATTCTCTCATAAATAACCTCAACACACAATAAGTAAGTGAATAAATTGTGCGTGATATATTAAACTGGAACACAATAATTGAATAATATAGTTATCTTATTATCTCAAACAAATGAACACATAATAAAAACACTATAAAGAGCAGCCAACATATATATCAATGTGTCACAATAAAATTGTCAAAAAATCGTTCACAATACAAACTAAATGAAAAACTTTAAATTTAAAAGTTCACAGTCGAAATAAAATCAAGTAAAAACATAAACAATGAAAGCATAGAAATGATAAACTAAAACTACAAAAAGGCCAATATAGTACGCGGAGTAATATATTAGTGTTTCCCGCAGGTGGGCATAACACACAGAGAAAGCCATTGAAAGCTCACGTCAGCATGTAAAACAAAGACAACGAACCAGTGTTGCCCGATGGGATAATAGAAAGGGAAGAAATAGAATTAGAATGTGAAGAATCAACAAAGATATATAACAGGGAAGAACATTTAACCAACACGACCCTAGGCGTGAGTTTTTAGACTATGATTCACACAGTACACTTAACTTTAAATAATATGTTAATGTTATAAGTGTGACACATACATTTGGTAAGCTCATTAAAGGGCGTGCTAATAATGAAGTCACACTGTTAACACTCCAAATATTAATCAAGTTTTACTTATATGGCACATGGCAAATAGGATCTAGCAAAATTTAAAACAGATGGATGAAACTCCATTAATTTAGTGAATGTAACTGAACGATAGTCATTTTCCATAGAGTGAAATGTGTGTTTAAACAAGCAGACGCAATTTAATTACCTAGCTGAATGTCTGAAGAATCAAAGTACTGGGCAAGACTCTTTCAATCCTTTTCAGCATGTGTGTGTGTGTGTGTGTGTGTGTGTGTATCCGTGTGTGTGTGTGGATTGTTCTCTTTCTTAAGCATTAAGCATCTGTTTCTTCCCTATCATATAAGAAACGTACTTTTTAGTATTTGTCTTTAGTTCATGTATTCTTTATTCAAAGATATCATCAGATTTATTATTGAAAAAGCAATAATCTGGTGCACTTGATAAAAATAAGCCTATTACTTCATGTTTCAAGTAATTCATTTTTGAAGGCTTGGGAAGAATTGATCACCCTGTTGATCGTTTCAATCTCAAAATTCGAATTTAAATAGCATTAGCGAGTTAGACTGCACTTCACCTGTTAGTTCTAGTCATTGTGCCTCCAAAGTTAACAGGAAGTGCCCTCTCTATCTAGGTAGTTAAGGGTATTTAAATCGAGAGAATTGTATAACAAAATAGAAGAAAACTGTGACAAAAAAATAATTGGTGATAAAAATTTACACCATATAAGAAGTGAGAGGGGCATACAAGGACAAGGACCATATAGTGTGTTATGCAGATTCTCCTCAAAGAGATTATTAAATTCTGAACCGATGACTTAGAATTCCCGCGGCTGGAGGTCAAGCTAGCAGAGTAATAGCCGACAGATAAGTTTAAGACCTTATAAATTTAGAGGCAAACGAGATTTATATGATGCTAAAAAGGTCTTTTAGAGACAATAATATACACATTGCCTCAAAGAGTTGCATCTAGAAATTATTTTTCTTGTAGTGTCAGAGTACTAAAAGATCTCCAGGAATGCTCACGGTTGGATAAAGTCATTTTTTTTACTTCCAGGTGCTTCCAAAGTTGATCCTCACTTACATATGGATTTTGTAATCAGAATACTAAAAAGATGCATAATAGCTAATCTAATTAAGAAAAAGTACAGGTATTCGAAAATAAAAGTGAGATATAAATAAGAGAGAGTTTGACTTTGCACCCCATATTTTGGGTGATATTTGACTTTGCACCATATTTTCAAAATCATTAATGTATGTGTTGGAAAAATGTGTTAAAAATTGCATTAAATGGTCATTTTGGGACAATATTTTGAGTGGGGTCCACTTCAAATTTGGGTCGGGTCAAAGTGGTTTAGGATTTTCTTTGCTAAGGGCTACAATTTGATATGTGGTACACTCAAAACAGATAATGGGTGAATGAGAAATCGATTCTCGAAGTTCACTTGTCGAAATGGAGAAAACTAGGAAAATGATGGGTTTCTATAGTGGATACCCAACCTAGTTGGTCCTAGGTTCAAAAGGGAAAACTAAATTATAGAGCGAAGGATGGTCACTGTGGGGGTCCCGGACTCCTACCCACTCCTCGTTGAAACAATGACTCCCGCACGAGGTTAGCAAAAATGTTTGCTTTATTGATTATGAAATGTTGATCTACTCGATAACATTGTAAGAGTATGCGGGATACTCATGAAAGAATCACCTATGTGAGAGAGAAGAGGGTCGCTTCAAAGGAAAACTATATAGGCTCAGTTCTTTAGAAACTCTTGCAGAACCAGGACGGTGACCCATGGCTAAAACGGGCACACCCATGAGAACATAACAAAGTTGGAAGGTTCGTGTGTAAAGACAGGTCAATGTTTACACGGCGGCAGTATAGTTCAAGGACATCGAGTCTACTAGACAGCCAGTAAATAAACATGTGTTTACAGTGAAAGGTTCAAAGGATAAAACCTACCTCTCCGTATGCAGGGATCATCCGGTGAACACAATGTGTCCTCCTATCTTCGTGTCTTTTTAAGTCTCGAAAATCAATTTTCATTCATGTGGGAGATTGTTGAAAAAATGTGTTAAAAATTGCATTAAATGGTAATTTTGGGAAAATATTTTGAGTGGGGTCTACTTTTGATTTGGGTTGGGTCAAAATGGTTTCAGATTGTCCTTGCTAAGGGCTACAATTCGATATGTGGTACACTCAAAACGGATAACGGGTGAATGAGAAATTGATTCTCAAAGTTCACTCGTCGGAATTGAGAAAAATAGAAAAATGATGGTTTCTAGTGTGTTTTATCCCACATCGGAAAACCCAATTGATTTTCACCCCCTTATAAAGGGAACCTCATTTGAAGGATTTAAGATGGAATGTCAAAATCACGAAGCAACCAGCGTAGCCAAATAATTTCACTGATAGTGATAGCCATAGAGCGGTACTCAGCTTCGGCAGAAGAGCGAGATACCACCGTTTGTTTTTTTGTCCGCCATGATATTGGCGATCCTCCCAGCGTTATGAAATAGCCCGAGGTAGAGCGCCGAGTAAAGGGGCAGCCTGCTTAGTCAGCATCACAATATCCTTCCAAAGAGAAATCATGATGTGTTGAAAGGAAAATTCCTAATCCCGACGTAGCTTTGAGGTAGCGGAGTATGCGATAAGCCACATCAAGATGGACTTGACGTGGATGAGAGATGAATTGGCTCAGGTGATTCACGGAGAAAACAATGTCTGGCTGTGTAACAGTAAGATATAACAATCGCCCAATGAGACGACGATACATCGCAGCATCAACAAGATTACTAGGGTCATCTGGACGGAGCTTCAAATTTTGTTCCATGGGAGTGAGGCTTGGTCGACTCCCCAACATGCCGCTTTCGTGCAGTATGTCTAATGTGTATTTTATTTAGCTAAGTACAATCCCATCAGGAGATCGGGCAACTTATATCCCAAGGAAGTACTTGAGCGGGCCAAGATCCTTAATCGTAAATTGTTGATTAAGAAACTCTTTGACATGAGATATGTGTGTGATGTTATTCCCATCAAGAAGTACGTCATCAACGCATATTAAGGCAGCAATATAAGTACTCCCTTTGTGATAGATGAAAAAGGAGTGATCGGCACGAGATTGTCTGAAGGCAATGCGTGTTAATGCTGCGGTGAATTTCTCATACCAATTTCTAGAAGCTTTCCGCAGCCCATACAAAGATTTTTGGAGCTTGCATACTCGAGTGTCATATGGTTTTGCAAAACCTTGCGGAATACGCATGTACACATCCTCATGTAAGTCCCCATGTAGGAAGGCGTTGTCAACGTCCAGTTGATGAACCGCCCTGGTACGTTTGGCGGCAACTGCTAGTAAACACCTGACAATGACAAGTTTAGCGACGGACGCAAAAGTCTCGTGGAAGTCTATCCCCTCAATCTGCGTAAAACCTTTTGCAACGAGACACGCCTTGTAGCGTTCAATGTCTCCATTAGGTTTGTATTTGATTTTATATACCCACTTTGAGTCGAAGAGCTTTTTACCTGGGGGTAATGGCACCAAAATCCATGTCCCATTTGCTTCAAGAGCTTGAATTTCCCTTTTCATGGCCTCCCTCCATAGCGGGTCCTGGATTACTTGTGAAAAATATTTAGGCTCATCATGGGCGGTGATGGCCGCTAAAAAAGCACGGTGAGTCGGCGAAAAGTTATTATAAGAGAGAAAATGTGTGAGAGGATATACTGTCGAGTCTGCCATATTGGAGGTGGGTGTCGAGTGCTCAAGTGAGGGTGGCAAATCAACATCAAAATTTTGTAGATGAACTGGTGTGCAACGTACTCGTCCACTCTTCCGGATACCTCCCTCACATTGAGTATCATCTGACTGCTCAACTGACGCAAAGGGTATTGATGTGTCTGATGTCTCAAGATGCTCATTTGGTGAATGCTCACTTTGCATCGAAGAAGCCTCAAGTTGATGTGGACTATTTGGTGATGGGCCACTGTGTGTAGGAATGGCCGAGCCACGTATGACCGGACGTGTCGAGGTTGGAGTGACTGAAGGCAGTGAAGCAACAGAAATTCTTTCCAGGGCCATCCGAATTGCCATTTCAAAGGACTGATTCTCTGTGGTCAACACATTTTTGAAAGGGAAAATATCCTCAAAATTGTGACATCTCTTGAACTGTAGACCTTTTGAGTCTTGAGATCAAAAACTTTGTAAGCTTTCAGTCCGTTTAGACATCCAATAAAAATGCATGGGCTCCCACTTTCACTAAATTTATCCTTCCGTTTGTTATCATGGGCATAAACAAGGCACCCAAAAACACGGAGATGGTTGTAATCAGGTGCCTTCTGAAAGAGCATCTCGAAAGGAGTTTTATTCGAAATCACTTGTGTGGGAAGTCTATTGATGATAAAGACAATTGTAAGAATACATTCCCCCCAAAAATCAATAGGTAACCCTGATTGGAAATGCAAAGCTCTTGCCACCTCCAAAATGTGTCGATGCTTTCGCTCAACGACCCCATTTTGTTGTGGGGTATCTGTGCAAGATGTTTCCAAAATAATTCCATTTGCGGAATAATAATCAAGTAAAATATGGGATTGAAACTCTCCACCATTGTTTGTCCGAATTCGTTTAACGGAGCAACAAAATTGTGTTCGAGCCATGTTACAAAAATGAATTAAAATTTGTCCCACATCAGACTTAGCAACCATAAGATAGACCCACACGCTGCGTGTAAAATCATCAACAATGGTGAGAAAATAACGGGCACCTGTAAGACAGGAACACTTGTACCCCCCCCCCCCCCCCCCAATGTCACAGTGGATCAAATCAAAACTTTGTTGCGTCTTAATAAAACTGCTAGGAAAAGGTAGTCGAGTCTGCTTAGCTCGTACACAAGAATCACAAAAAGAAATATCTTTCTTAAAATCCTTTAAAATATGAATATGGCGAAGTTTTTCATTAGAGGCATGCCCCAAATGTCGATGCCAAATGTCAAGCTGTGAGGAAATCATCATTGCCACCCGCTCGCTGTTGGGGTCCTCCAAATAATATAAGCCACCTCGACACCTACCCACTCCAATCAGCCTCCTCGAGAGTAAGTCCTAGATCACACAAAAATCGATCCCCTAATAAATGAGTCTGCAATTATGCTCTTGAGTTAGCCGACTAGAAGATAATAAATTGCACTGAAAAGTGGGTATGAATAAAACACGAGATAAAATTAACCCATCTGGCAAACAAACGCTGCCAACGGAATCAACAGGCACAACATCACCATTTGGTATTCGAACGGGGGATTCAGACGGATTAGCTTTGATGTCCATTAATAAATTCTGGTTGCAAGTTGTTGGTCCCTGTTTCAGAGATAATGATCTAACAACAATGATATAATAAACACAGTCATACAAACAAGAGATCAGATAATGATATGAAGAAGATGATCGGTGAAACCCTCTTTGATATACCGTGAACTATTACAGAATGATGAGCGCTAAGGCTGATAGTTCGAATACTAAAGTTGACGCAAACCTAAGCCTTATGCGCCTTTATATATGCGCAGGTAAGGTTTGCGTACATGCTTTGCGCCTGATATGGGTCTTACACTTTGGCCCCATATCGTTTACTATGCTAATAAATACTGAGTATAAATATATAACATGCATAGTAAAGTCTAGACAATTACAAGACATTTGACAAACTTGATACACAATAAATATTCTTCAACAATCTCCCCCTTTGTGATCAAGTGTCGTCTTGCTTTCTTTCTGAGCTCTAAAGTAGTTTTTCTTGTGGTTTAGTGCGTGCTCATATTGCCTGGGGATGTTTCTCTTTTCTAAGCGTTCATCAATAGCTTTCAAAATCAAAGTCAACATTTCATGCTCCTTTAGAGTATATGTAGATGCATCCACAAGTTTTCTGTCAAGCTCTTCCTTTGTTTTCCGTAGCTTCTCTTGAATGATTTTCAAAGTGCCATCACAGTATTTGTGGATCTCTTCAACCACCATCATGCGTTTTTCATCCTTGTGGTTCAGATAGACTATTGCAGGTGGAGTGAAGAAGATGTGATAAACAGGAAAGTCCTAAAGCTCAGGACCATAGAGTTTTGGCTGAGATAGATTCGCTTTTGGGATATTATTCTCGAGAGCCATTTGGAAGTCATGGGAAGCACTGACTCGGACTTGTCTTAGCACGAAACGCTTGATTGCTTCACAGCCTTCTTTGTAAGTTCGATTGTTTCTGACTGGTAGGAATCTGTACGCCATAAACATCCCATAAATGTCATCCATTTTGAGCATTATGAAATCATTTTCTTGGCATACAAATTCGCTATCGTCAGTGCGCTGGACTTTGTAGGAGTAGAATCTGATTGTATGATGATCTTCGGCCTTGACTTGTAGTATTGCATGAACAGGATGTGTACTAGACTTTAGATCTTTTTCCAAAAGTTGTCGTTGAGGCTCTGAAGATCTATGAAGTAGCATGTGTAGGCGACCTTCTGTTTCTTTTCCTTTCAAATGTGTAAGTCCGCGCATCCTTAGTTCCCTTAAAGGTCTGGCCTTCTCCGGTTTACGCCAGATACGCTTTCTGAGTTCCTCTTGGAAGAGGCTTTGATTCTAACGTTCTCCCAAGGTTTCTCATTCTTGGGAATTCGTGTAACACCCCAAAATTTCACGCCCAAAATAATACTTGAAATAATAATATATTGATAACAACCTTGATTTATTCATTCAAAATGAGTAGAATTTTGCAGCGGAAATAATAATTATGGGAAATGGGTGTTACCGCCACACCCGATCAAACACGGCCGGATGCACAGGCAACTTAAAACTAAATAAAGTGAAAGCAACATAAAATAAATGTTTATTTAAGACTAAGTTCAACTAAGGTATCTTCTAATTCGTTCTCAGGCTTGAGTAATCCATCAATCCACATAAGCACCCAACTCATCACCTGTTAAAAATTAAGGGAGGAGAGAAGGACAAGGAAAATAACAAAAATTAGCTTTAGAGCTAAGTAAGTACTACCCAACCCTGTAAAATAATCAGGTTTGGGGAAAAATAGTTTTTGATATAATACTATATAAAATAACACACTCCGCCAAAATTTTCTTCTCTTTGATTTTTCTCAAAATCACTTCTTTATTAAAGTCCTCAACTTTTCTTCAAAAATACTATAGTAACTCTTCTCTTAGAATTTCTCAAAATTCACTTCTTCTCTATCTTCCTAGTAATTTATAAGGGCGGTGCTCAATATTCTGGTTGAGCCCGGTGGTTATGTTATTATGTACGACCGCCCCGGGACTTTTGCCGGTACCACAACTGTTAATGGAAACGAAATGACTACCTTAAGTGTGCACACCCCCTAAAAGGGATTCCAAGCCCCCTGAGTAGTAAGTCGTAATGAGTAGCCGGGACTCAGTCTACCAACTACCCCACCTTTAAAATTCTTGAATGATTAGGGACTACTACTACTACAACTTCTTCTTAAAAGGGATCATAGATCCAAATGTCACTTCAAACTCAAATTGTACTTCTTAGTAGTAGCAGCCCTAATCACCCTCCACATTTATCCGGATGTGAAAAACCGACACCGTGGATTAGGGGTGGACTCGGGCCGGGCCAACCGGCCCAGAACCGGACCGGCCCAGAACCGGACCGGCCCGCCACTGTGCGGGCCCGGACCGGCCCGCCACTGTGCGGGCCCGGACCGGCCCGGTGAACCCGTTGGTTGGCCGGTTCGGGCCACCTGGCCCGGTGGATTCTCGGTTCGGGCTCGGGCCCTTCAAAAGGTGAACCGGCCCGGCCGGTTCGGGCCCGGGCCGGGCCAATTTTAATTTTTTTTTGATTTTTTTTTGAGTTTTTGGGTTGGGCTGGGTATTTTGGGCCATTTGAGGTGGTTAGGATTGGTTTGGGGGTGAGGGGGAGGGGTGGGGGTTAACTAGGAAAAGCCCAAAAAAAAAACCCGAGGCCCGGTCCGGACCCGGGGGTTACCCGGCCCGGCCCGGACCCGGGGGTTACCCGGGCCGGTTCCGGGCCTCCCATACCTTGAACCGAGGCCCGGCCGGTTCAAGGCCCGAACCGAGTCCATCCCTACCGTGGATTTCTCCCGGGTGCTCATCTCTTATGAAAACGTAAATTTTATCTTGACTTAAAAAATATTTCCCAATCTCTCTAAATAGTCTCAAAGGTATTTAAAAATATTTAATACCCCCCAAAAAGTACTGTTAATTTGTATTCCTCAAAATCTCATACACATGATTCACAATTCACACTTAATCACATAATGCATAATAAGCATATAATACGAGGAAACCATTTTTGGATTGACAGAGAAACTTACCTTAAATTTGACGTCCCTAGTTCTCATCCTCTAATTCGATCTCTAGATAATCACCTTTTGATTAAAATTTCATAATTAGCCCTTCATTCTATTTTTATTAATTTCCCCGATTTCCCTACTTTACTAAATATATTTCAATTAATCTCCTTATATCAGCATTCCTATCTCAATACTCATTTTGAGATGTATTAATTACCATTAATTTAGTTTAATTTAATACAACTAAAATAATGGAGTCATAAAACTTATTAATTAATCTAATGATCGAGCTAGAATTCAATGAGCCTTAACTTAAAATATTCCTATCCGGTAAAATAAGTCACGGTTAGTTATTCCTCTTTTACTAATATTCTAATAGAAATGAAGTTAATCCAAAGAATCCCTACTAAGTATTTATAAATGGCCTGATCATAAAAATTAATTAGTTTATAAATAACCAGTCTTAATTCCTTGTTAATCCATTATGTACTTATCCATCATGCAATTTAGGAAAATAGCGTACTGTGCTTCTTCTTCTTCAACAACTAAGATAGCGAACGAATCAGTGCAAGGTGTAGTGCGGCGGCGGCGGCGTCCTCGGTGGCGATGACCCCTCCCTCTCCAGCAACTCAGGACGTGAGAATAAGAACAGTCCGTCAAACTCCGGTAATTTTCTTTTCTCTCATTGCATCAACTACGTATTCCTTCACCCCCGGCCACTACCTCTCAGAGATTACGTTTTTAGCTCTCGTTTGGGGTGTATATACTTGCCGCAGCGCAGATATATATATAAATATATACATATATACTCCCTCCGTCCCGAATTCAATTGCAAACTTTGACTGTCACAATTATTAAGGAAGAACAATAAATGATGTTTTCTTTTTACACTTTTGTTCATCTTCCTAAAAGTAGATGCCTTTAAGTTAATGGAAGAAAAGTAAAAGTAAGGGTAAATTTGTCACTCTATTCTTATCTACATACCTAAAATAGAAAGTGGAAAACCATTTTGAGACGACCAAAAAAGGAAATTTTGCAAATCAAATTAGAACTCGAGATCCTGATATCGAGATTTAAACCTCAATATCACGATCTCGAGATTTAAATCTCGAGATCACGATCTCGAGGTTCAAATCTCGAGATCAGGATCTCGAGGTTTAAATCTCAAGAACACCATCTTGAGATTTGAATCTCGAGATCTTGACGCGAAGATGAAACGACGAGATCGAGAACTCAAAATCAAACCTCGAGAATCTGATTCTCGAGTTTGCCTCTGAGATTAACGACGAAATCCACCTGCAAAAACACAAAAACAAAAATACAATGATAATAAAAAACGTTTCGAGTTCTTCGTTCTGAGTTCGTGAAAACCGTTTTCGATTTCTAGATTTCGAGTTTGATGTGATATGATTTAAGATCATCTGATTTTGTGATAGTGATGATCGATAGGAACAACTACCTTCTGTGTTGATTTCGAAAGAGAGAAGGAGAAAAGAAAGAGTTCGAGAAAGAAGGTGCGAGGGCTGGTCTGCGAGATCTCAAGGTGCGCGAGGAAGATGAAGGAAGAATGTCGAGATCTCGTTTCTTATATGCACGAAAATGCTGGGCCAAAAAACAAAAATGGGCCCAGAATTCCAAATTTAAAAAAAATTGAGGCCGAGTATTAAGTAAGAATTTCTCCCCCTCGAACAGTGCACGAGTTACAGAAAAAAAATACGCACACATGCAACTCACGCACACTATTTGTGTTATTTTTCTCCTTTTCTCCCCCTTGATGAATGCAACACATGCAATATACAGATGCAACTCACACACTGTTTTTGTTGATATTTTTCTCTTTTTCTCCCCTTGACACATGTGACGCACACTATGTACACAAGCAACACACGCACACTATTTACAAGTCCCATACACACACATTTGAACAGACCAATGGAGATAAAATTACACAGGCTCGAGGTTCAACATGCCTATCTTGGAGACTAGGAACTGGAATCTCTTTTCGTCCAGTGCCTTAGTAAACAAGTCAGCCAATTGAAGCTCTGAGCTTACAAAGTACATATCAATATCTCCTTTCTCCACGTGGTTCTTGATGAAATGATAGCGCAGATCGTTGTGCTTGGTGCGAGAGTGGTGAACAGGGTTGCTGGTGATGGCAATTGCACTTTGAGAATCACTGTAGATCGGAATATGGCGGAGTGTGCAACCGTAGTCTTTCAGCTGAGTCTTCATCCATAATATTTGTGAACAACAACTAGCAGCCGCGACGTATATATTCTGCCTCAGCTGTAGATGTTGACACACAATTCTGTTTCTTGGAAGACCAGCAGACTAACTTCTCACCCAGAAATTGGGCGCCTCCCGATGTACTTTTTCCGTCCATTCTGCAACCCGCAAAATCAGCATCCAAATATCCGACAAGTCAAAACCTGAATGCTTGGGGTACCAAAGGCCCAAGTTCACTGTGCCTTTCAGGCACCTCAAGATTCTTCTTACAACGGTCAGATGAGACTCTTTCGGATTTGCTTGGAAACGAGCACGCAAGCATGTGGAGAACATTATATCAGGCCTGCTAGACGTTAGGTAAAGCAAAGATCCAATGATTCCCCTGTAGTTGGTAGCATCTACTGGTTTCCCTGAAGGGTCAGAGTCCAACTTGTTATGGGGGGACATGGGGGTTTTCATGGATGGTTTGCCGTCAATGTGAAATCTTTTCAACATATCCAGAATGTACTTGGACTGATTGATAAAGATATCATCTTGTAGTTGTCGGACTTGCAGGCCTAGAAAGAAATTCAACTCTCCCATCATGCTCATTTCAAACTTGGTTTTCATCAGTTCCTCGAAGTGTTTGCACAGACGCGGATTTGAGGAGGCAAAGATGATGTCATCGACATAGATCTGAATCAGAATAATATCAGACTTCTGTCGCTTGATGAACACTGTATTATCAATCTTTCCTTTTGAGAAACCTGAGTCAACCAGAAACTCTGTTAAGGCATCGTACCAGGCTCTTGGAGCTTGTTTCAACCCGTAGAGTGCCTTGTTTAGTTTGTACACGTGGTCAGGGTGTTTGGGATCTACAAATCCTTCGGGCTGAGCAACATAGACTTCTTCCTCTAAGACTCCATTGAGAAAGGCAGTCTTCACGTCCATTTGAAAGACGGTGAAGTTTTTGTGAGCCGCATAAGCAAGAAAGAGGCGGATTGATTCAATTCTTGCTACAGGTGCAAATATTTCATCATAGTATATGCCCTCTTGTTGATTGTACCCTTTTGCGACCAAACTAGCTTTGTTTCGCACGACGATACCTTCTTCGTCTTTCTTGTTCTTGAACACCCATTTGGTGCCTATGATGGATTTCTTTGATGGCTTTGGCACGAGTGTCCAGACTTGTAGTCTCTCAAATTAATTGAGCTCATCTTGCATGGCAATCACCCAATCTGGATCAGTGAGTGCTTCAGAGACTTTGGTCGATTCAGTTTAGCTTAGAAAGCACGCGTATAGGCATTCGTTCGTGGTTGTAGATCTAGTGCATACTCCACGAATCGGATCACCAATTATTTATTCAACCGGATGAACTTTCGTCCATTTCCTTTCATGAGCCATAGGAATTGGAGTGATGATTGGTTGATCCGCGTCCTCATAAAGAATGGTGGTCTCTTGAGCAGTCGTGGTGTGAAAAGGAGATGATTCTGGGGTTGTTGCAAAATCGTGATCCTCAACTTCTTCTTGATTGGATTGAGGAGTGGATGTCGTAGAAGGGACGTCATCTGGACTGGGTAGAAGTGGGATCTGTGGAGTGGGAGTATGTTGTGGTGGAGATGATGGTGTTTCAGGACGTGGATTCTCATAAAATTGTTGGAAGAGATAATCGAGAATCACGCGGTCAGATGTAGATTGTGGATCAGCTTCATTAGAAGATCGTTGCGGTTCAGAAGAGGAGGGGTCTGTCAAGAAGTGCTCAGAAGCGAAGTCTGCCATTTCATAGAATGTTACATGCACACTCTCTATGACACTTCGTCGATCTTTCAAATAGATTCTGTATGCTTTTGACTGTGTAGAGTAGCCAATAAACACACCTTCCCGAGCTTTTGGATCGAGTTTGCCTCTCTCGCTTCTATCATTCAGCACAAAACACTTGCAACCAAACACTTTGAAGAAAGAGATATCTGGGGTTCTGTTGAAAAGGATCTCATAGGGGGTCTTCTCGAAGCATTTATGAATGGATGTTCTGTTTTGAGTGAAGCACGCTGTATTGATGGCTTCAGCCCACATGAAGTGAGGGAGCTTTGACTGAATCAGCATTGTGCGTGCTGCTTCAACAAGTGTTCTATTCTTTCTTTCAACGACCTCATTTTGTTGTGAAGTCTTGGCTGTAGAGTACTGTTGTGTGATACCCTGAGATTCATAGAACTCGGTGAGAACCTGATTCTTGAACTCAGTACCATTGTCCGTTCGTGTTATCCTCACACTCTTCAGAAGTAGGTTTTGGATTGTTCTGATGAAGGTCATGATGGCGGCGGCAGCTTCGTATTTGGTCTTCAAGAATTTTGTCCATGTATACCTAGAGAAATCATCAACGATAAGAAGTGTGTACTTGCGACCATTGATGCTTTGGACTCTCATAGGCCCACACAGATCCATGTGAATAAGTTGCAGCGGATGAGTGGATGATGGCACGAGTTTGGACTTGTGAGAGCTTCGTATCATTTTGCCCATTTTGCAGGCACTACAATAATTTTCAGCAGAAGGCTTTAGCAGAGGAAGCCCTTTCACAAGTTTCTTGGAGGACAAAATGGATATGTTTTTGAAGTTCAGGTGGGATAAACATCGATGCCATAGGCTGTTCTGTTCTGTTGAAGCTTTGGACAGCAGCCAGATGGAAGTGGTGGATTGTACACTTTTCGGATCAATTGTGTACAAGTTTGATGTCCTGTTACATGTTAATAATGAGTTCCCAAAGCTGTCCAACACGCAAAATTGATTGGCTATGAACCTCACTTTCATTCCGCTGTCACAGAATTGTCCTATTCTCAGTAAGTTATGCTTGAGCCCTTTGACATAGGAAACAACCTTTATGGTGACGCTGGCACATATGACATCCCCATATCCAAGGATAGGAGATGAGGTGTCGTTCCCAAATCTGACATTGCCTCCATAACGGTTGGTGTAGTTGATCAACACGTGTTTGATTCTGGTCATGTGGGTTGAGCATCCGGAATCTAAGTGCCACACATGATCGACCTACAAAACAGTTAAGCCGTTTTAGGTACCCACCTCAGGATGGGTCCTGCCTTATCAATTGATAACACTTTCTTCATTTTTTCTCTGAGCTGTGATCCAAGGTCAATAGCTTTCTCACATAATGATCTCTTTAGCAAGATCTGTTTTTGCATGTTCTACTTTAGCAGGTTCCGTTTTTGGAACCCACTTTTGTTTGATTCCTGTGGGAGAGTAGACATGGGCTTTGTGATTGAATGGTTGTTCAGTGAGAATAGATTTAAAAATCTTCTCTTTTGAGAGTCTGTTTAGATGTTTCCTAGAATGAACTTTGAGGGGATATTTTAAATTTGGTAAACAGAAAACTCCCT